CTTGTGAGAGATTACTTCACGGAAACACGGATGATACAGTATTTTTACTTGGAATGGTTAGAAACACAGTGAAACTCGTCGAGGAGCCTTGACACGGCATGTACAGATTAATAAAAGAAAAGTACGCATGACTCAGCCTTTGTACAAGTGTTCCCAGAAGATAATAGATGACACGATTAGTGTACATCAACGCAGACGAAGTTTAATTGACTAGCTTTATTGTTTAACTCGAAATAAATAAATTCCCAAAGCCAGAAAGAATTTGTGGCTCTAGGGCGAATACCACCCCTTGCATTTTTACTCCGACCTTCCCCTAACTCCTCGTGGTATGTCATGTAGACGCGAATTATGACGTATCTACTCTTCGCTGTTCTCTTAGCTATATGAAACGTATAAACATCTAAATAATACAGTAATATTAATAATAATATTCAAAATAGTATGCGTGAGTGTGAGTCTCTTGTCTATAGCTACAAAATCTATGGCGTAAATGCGACATGCGAGAATTCAGTCTAAATCTAGCGTAAATGATGTTTCAAAGAATGTCCTAGATCAGTTAATCATTACAAAAGAGTCAGAGAGTTAGAACCGATAGGTGAAGCGAGACAGAGAGCGAGAGAGCGAGGAAGAAAGAGAGAACTGATTTATCATTTTAACACTAAACGTACCGATACTTTACACATACCTATTCTTACCATAAGGGGTCAAATGACACCCCCGTGGTACATAAGGTATGCAAAGAAAATAGGTTAAGAGAAAAACGGAAAGCGAGAAATTAAACAATCGGATAACATAAGAATTTACAGAAAGTCAGATGAGCGAAAGAAATAATAATAAATGTACAATTATAACGTAAATTTTGAAAAGGTGGTTGGTACGTTTAGTGTTAACCCTTTGCACTCGAGAGGTGAGCTTCAGTCACCATTTCATAAAATTTGGAAGATCGATATTAGTTAGTATATCGAATTTAACGTAATGTAACAGTGTGCGAGGTATCGAAGTCAAATAATTCTACAATTCTATTATTATACAATTCTTTAATTAAATTCTGTTCAAAAAAGTATCGCCAGCTTTTTAGTAGAGAGTCTTCGATTTTCTACTCCTCTCTAGCCAAAAAATCGTCGAGTGCAAAGGGTTAATACAATATTCCGTATTCGTCGCGTTACTATCCCTCGTGCATACATACTTGCGCTCTTCTCCGAAAGATACAGATATTATCGTCACATTCTACCCTCGGTATGTTCCATCACTCAGTCTCGCGCGGCACCGCATCAAAAACGGTAGATTTCAGTGGAAAATCGGAATACCTGTCTTGCCTCTGCGCCATTCCGAGTGCAAACACCTGAACTATGCACAGTACGTGTCTCGCGACCATTTTTCATTAATCTTCTCTCGCTCACCTGCAGATATTTCACCGAAGCGGATGCCACGTCTTCATCGAATTAGCTCGCCGGTGCGCCCCGGAATTTTCCTTAAATCCGTAAATCAGCGTACCTGGGATTCCTCGAGTCGCCATTAACATGGCGTCCACGCGATAGGTGACGCGCATCAAGGCGCCGTGGATCGGATAGCCATGGAGGTCCATTGATTCCATGGAACCAGTTTTACCCGACAGTTACGCTCCATATCCCAATTTATACACACAGTCGGGCCGCTATGCGACTGCTGGGGAGCGTGGAAAGGAGGAAGAAGGGTGACGGTTGGTGCCGTATCCGCGAGAAAGCACACGCATGAATGGGCTGTACGTATAATTCAATGAAACCTACGCGGCCCCGGTGCACCGGGTACACGCTTTTCACGTCGATAATAAGGCGCACCGTGCAACGAATGCCTATCGTCGGGACGCTTCACCGTTCCCTGCTTTATTTCCCAATTTTCCGATGGCATTAAATCGAGAACATAATGGAATTTTTATTACTCGTCCACGAAGGGAAATAAATTGACTCGTTGGGACGGAGCCCGCCCGTTCCACCCTGTCCATGCTTGTCGTACGTTCCAGTGGCTGTGGGTGTGTACGATTTTCGAACATACCGGGTGTCCCCTGATACGCAGACGGCATTGCGATAGAATTTCGACTGAATGGATGACTCAGGTCGGAATCTCTGGTTTTTATTATTATAAAATCCTGATGACGTGGGAGAGGGGTCACGATCGTGCTGAATATCGGAGCGTCGGGTAATCTGTGGAGTTTTAATTGGGTATAATAGAAGTCAAGATAGGACGAGGTAATAATTTATTATCGATGGAATTAAAATAAGGTGACCTTTATTCCGGGGTACTCATTCGACTGCTTCTTTCAGCGAAGGGATATTGCAGACGTCTGATTTCATTGGATGAGGGGTAGACAGGACGGTGGTTGGGTGAAATGTCATCTTCCTAAAAACAATAAAACACGATTAGAGTCAAAATTAAAATTGTGGAATTTTATACAACGTCATCGGTCAGTTCGTTTAATCGATATTATACAACTGGTGGATATTGTTGGAGAGTTCTAATCTCCCGCTCCATGTTGCTAGACGCTTCTAGCGACATCTGACATTTGTTTTCTGGTTATTTAAATAAAACCTAACAGCGGAAATTATTTCCTTCCAAGCTACCACGAAGAAAGTATGTATAGTTACCCTGACTGTGAGACATTATTCCATTTAATTATTCCACTAATTAATTATAGTAATTAACAACAGATATTTTTCCACCCTTTCTGATAACTCTCAAACGCGAAGGATTTCTCGACGCCCCATTTAAGCACGCCATTACAGAGGAATTATAAATTCCATAAATTTTTGCGTTTCATTATGCGCGTAACACTCGTCTGCAGCAAATGAGCCGTCCCGAATGAGTGTCGAATGCGAAATTTTACAAGATACACCGCAATTATATCGAAATCTTCGACTTTCGACGAAGCGTGTTACCACAGACTCTTATTACTCCGTTAATTGGATTTCGCCTAAAAAGGATTGCGAGAAGAATCTGAAGGTCGTGCATAAAAACGCTAGTTAACCCCTCCGTTCTTTCTTCTGCTTATAACAAATACGTGTAATAGCAATAATCGCGAGGGATATTCGATAGGGGGAGCAAATCGACCGGTTTGATTAAATACAACAGTCCGCGTTTTTAATTGTGAAAGCAATCATCGGGGACGAGCTCGCGTTATTATTGAAAAGGCCTGGGCATTTCCACTGACGGCAAAAAGACGAGAAGACGCAACGAGGATGCGTCCCAAGTTACCGTGAGACGATGCTTCGCAAATTAGACCTGTTGAACGAGCCGGTGCCCGCTCCGTCCAAATAAGATTCGCGATGATTTATTGCGTGCATACATCAACAACGGAGAACAGAAGTTACATTACGGTATATTAATACGGGACGCAACAGTTTCTCGTAAGTCACTGCGAGAGATGACGCTGATACTCGACGAGCCTCGAGTAATTTACATTTTCCCTCGCTATTATTAACATTACGCGTATCACGATTCTCCTCCGTGTTTCCAAGGCCTTGGCCACGTTATTCCAGCCACTTCGATTCCGTCGCGTTCGTGTTTGCCCCCGCGCCAACTTCAGTTCGGCTAACCTCGCAGCGACAATCTAAGATGGCGCCGGAGCAGGTGCCGTTTCGAGGTTATGTTGTCGTCTGGCGCGTTCCGGTCGCGATGTTCGCGGAAATTACAGGGTATTCTACGCGTTCTTTTAGTACTAAACCTACCACGACTGATAAAATTGATCGGTAGATGGGAAAAAGACAGAAAGAAAAATCTTCGAAGAATGGAATAAGAGGAAATATCGAAAAATTGATTTTAAGTTTTAAAGCAAAAGTTTAAAAATAGTTATTTAACACGTTCCATGCCATGTGCACCATTTAATGCACTGAGAACACGTTTTATGACAAATTTAATTTTGAAAAAAAATATATTTCCACTACAAGAATCAGGCATTATACAAAATGCGGTATAAAACAAAACATGCAAATTTGTTTAATTGTTATATATACAATAATTATTAATTACACGTAATGGTTGACTTTTTTAAAGCAAGGGATGCATAAAAATGACTTATTCGAGCAATCGATGCAAAACATGTTGCTACTCTTCTAGTTCTTTTTATTAATCGAAAATTTTCCAACTGACTGACTTTTACAGTCGAACTGATCGCAGCGCCACGCCAATTACTTATGGATTGATGATGTAATGACACATCAATATATCAATTTTTAGCCAGAATAACAATTGACCTTGATCTTTTGGCACGGAACGTCTTAAATCGTGGCAGGTTTAGTGTCAATTGCTTTAGAGTACCAATTTATCAGTAATTACAATGCAATATTATAAATAGGCAATATAAGCTAAAACAAAGTCACGAGAATAGTTACGGCAGCCTGTATTACAAGAGGTATCAAATCAAGAAACAATCTATATATATATATATTTAAAATTTTGAAAATCTCTTTACTTTGTTCCATATTTTTAGGCCACAATCGCTTTGCAGGAATTCGATCACGAAGTTTGCGCTAGCCAGGAACAATAGGGCGGGAACCGTGCATAATCCAGATCTAGTAACGGTTAAAAGAGCCTCGATTCAATTGGAAACTCGAAAGAACGTCGGAAGCGAAGTTAAATAACAGATCCAGGTTGGTAATGCGGTTTTAAATTACTTCGATCCGAGAAGTTCGAAGACAAGTGACTTGACTAATGAGCACGAGCGCAGGCACTCGAAAGGATATTCCAAGCCGAGTAAATAACAGGTTCACGTTGGTAAAGTGCTTTCGAATTACTTCGCTTCGAGTAACTAGAATTCGAGTAGCTTGACTAATCCGAGCGAAGCGTAGTATCTGGCAGCAGAGCTGTACAAACGATGACAGCGACTAGCAGTGCCGGATCACTTTCGCTGAATCATTCCAGCGATTACGCCAACCGATCCTCTCTCGAGTCGTCCACACCGAATTCATAACCACGCCCACGGATCGGGGAATCACCCCTATAGAGGAACGTTTATAGCTACGGTGCACGTCGTTGGATCTTTCCATACGAGCCCGAGAGAAGACATCGTAGACTGGTCAGCCATCCTCTGGCCTCACTGTCGCTGACTCGGAAAGAACGGAATGTTTCATTGCTACATTTACGCTCGTAAACCGCGAACGCTCGGTTTCACGCGAGTAACTGCGGAAATAAGTAGCAGAGATTGCAAGGTTAACGAGGACAAAGGGAAATGCGGTCCTCTCCTTCCTCCACGCGTCTTCTTTTGTCCGTATAATTAACTTTAATTACCCGATCGCCTCCATGTCGTCGTCTGCTTCCCGGTGCTTACGCGTTTCGTCCGACGCGCCAACAACCATCCTCCATTTTGTTCCATTTTCTTCCATTTTGTTCTATTTTCTTCCACTTTGTTCCTCCTCGCTTCGCCCGACCTGCCTCGTGCAAAACCCTGCCACCCGTCACGAAAGCCCTCGATCGACTCTGAAATTTATGTTGGCATTTTATTAACTAATAAAACGAAATTACAGAAGGGGTGAAATAAATTAGAGGAGAGGAAAAGATTTTCTCGCGGGTAGAGAATACCTGGAAGTTGCGGAGGTAAGAGTAAAACGATTTTAAAATTCCTCCAATGATTCTGAGTTTCGATCATTACGCAATATTTACCCGAAAATAATTTTATTTTCCAAGTGTAACAATTTTATTGTAGCGAGCATACGTGTTTGAGGTATGCGTATGGAATTTTAGGATATATCGAAGTTCGGAATTTATTTGAACTCTTTGTACTAGAAAATTTTTCCAGTAGAAATTCGATGACATTTTTTGCCACTAACATGGACAGAGATCAAACGATTATTGCGCTACAAAAAGTTTCGTATCAAATATTAAATTTTGTAATTTCGTTTCGTGGGATGTTCTATAAACTTTGATTAAAGAAAGGAATTTTTTGGTACTGTATGCATACGCGTGTTACGATACGATCGTTTGCCAAAGATTCGCGATGGTCCGCCATTTTATTCTATAAGACGATAATCCATTCTGAACAAGATGGAATTGGGAGTTACTATAATAAGGGTACGCAATTATGGCGACTTATGGTGAAAAACGCGAAATTTTAGATCCGTCGAGAAATTTAAGGTTCATCCTCATGAACGGTCTCCTCGAAAGTTTCACGACTTTCGAACTTTCTTCATTTTTCGGGTCATCAATGACCCAAGCGAAGAATTTCAAAACAATCTTACATTTTGACTATTAGCAATGATTAATAGGACAACTCTATTTTCGAGCTTCGATTCGTATGAATATTCCTGAACCATGCTCGAGCTTACCTAAAATTACCGAGACCATAAAAGTGCTAATTGCGTTGCAGAACAAAATCTCGCGGAACTGCAGAAGCGTATCAGGGGAAGAACAACGGAATACCTATTACGAAGTTCGAAGACTGCAAAGTTTACGAAATTTCTTTCTCCCAAGATTATTCCACGGGACGAAGATTCGTGGAGAGCAACGAAATAAAAAAATAACAGGTCTAACCGTTGCTTGGAACTAGCTCGGGAAACGGTGTCTCCTTAACGTGGCTCGTAACGGGAAAATTCCATGACCTGCCCAGTAACGAGGAGTCATCACTGGCTACCTCTATCCGAATAACGAACGCTTCTTATCGGGGAATAAAATAGCAATAACAGACTTCCTTCACAGGAAACGCGATCGTGGTCACGCTAGTACTATCCGTCCTACTCTGTTCTTCGGCTAAACTCCGTCAAAAGAATTTGCAGGCATAGCGGGTAGCGAGTTCGTCACAGTCTACCTCGACATACCTCTGGAACCTTGACAAATGAAGTCCTCGCGAGCCATTGTACGAGTCACTTAAAATACTCGATGAACACTCGGTTTTTCGTATTAACACATTGCGAACTGCATAGAAATCGTTATGACATATGCTATGGATCGCAGGTTTTGACACGATAGTGTGTTGACATATAAAACTCGTGAGCAATGTGTTAAATTAATTTTCGTTTTCTGTTCTTTGGAATTAATTTACTTGCCGAACAAATCATTCACATAGTCTTCTCATTACCCAAACTAAACTACTGCGACCTAACTGTTGTGAAATGAAGTCCTCGAGAGCTATTGTACGAGTCACTTAAAACACTAGATGGACCCTCTATTCTTCGTATTAACGCATTGCATATCGTATAGAAATCTCTAAGAGATATGCCAGGGACTGCACATTTTGACATGACAGTGTGTTGACACCTAAAACTCGTGAACAACGTGTTAAATTAATTTCCGTTTTCTGTTCTCTGGAATTAATCGACTTGTCAAACAAATCAGTCTTCTCACTACTCAAACTGAACAATCTAACCTAACTACTGTCAAATTGATTCCTCGCGAGTTGTCATACTCGTGGCTCACAGGCCACAGTGATTAACTGGATTTTTGGAATTGAAATAAATTTTTCGCGTGAAAATAATTTCTACTCCGCTCTGTGATGCTCATCGATAAACGAGTAACCTATATACCTAGTCGACGCGGAATAAAGAAGCGATCATTTACTCGTAACTACGTCCTCGTGCAAAGCGAAGCGATCGCGAGCCGACTGCCACACACAAGCACACTCTCGTCACGTCGTCGTCTCATGCAGATTATCCCTAATAGATACCTTTAACCCTTAACGTCTGCCGGAAAAAAGTCGCAATTCATCGAACCCCATCATCGTGCCCGAAAGCTCGTCCCATCGAGTTGCTCTCCGTGTCCCGGTCTTACACAAATATTAGCATACTCGCGCGCGCACACAGCGCCGCGACGTACTCCGTCAAAACGGAGACGTTATCGCGGGACGGGCTGAATGCATAAAAGATCGGCCGGTTAATCGCATAATCGCGTCCCACCGGCCGGCGTGTGTCCACGTTCCTCTCGTAACCGTTCTCTCCCATATTTCTTTCTCCTCCTCTCCTCTCCTTTACTCTTTCTCGTTCACCTTTCAACCGACTGCCGGGAGTGACAGGTTAATCGAAGCGGCTTAGCCCGCCGCGGCGGCCATAATAAAAATCGAGCGTCCTGGCCGAAATGAAATTACTCGGCCAGGATGCACCCCTTTTGCAGGCTGGGTTTACTTCGACTCGACGTTTAATTTAGTCCCGATATCGATCCTGGTACACGAGCCTGGCCAGCTTCCTGCCAATAATCGGAGCGACACGGGATAATCGGCAGGGGTGGCTAATGAGCGAGGATGTTACGGTGCACTTAGGCGAACGGCGGGACGAAGGCACGAGCCAAGCTTTTTCTAACCACCCCTCGCAACAGGCGTCCACGGGGTTGAACGGATCCTGGATGCTCTAGTAGCTCGTATCCAGGCTCTCGTGAAGCCGAAATGTCCAAAATGCATTAATGACTCAGGAGTCAACCCTTTTTCTTTTTTAAGAGAAGGAAATCTTCGGAAGATACATCGTCCCCCTACGGAAGGGGACAAGATTACGTGAGATTTCTACCAATTAAAACCCCCACGGTGCTACGGTGCCACGACATGCCTATAGAAGCGGGCCTATCGATGTTTAAAAATTTTTCTCTCTGCCAAAATTTATTTACAGCGCCGTGTTCAGGTGTCAACCCTGTGTCAATGGGTGTCTCTTGTCATTTCTTCGAACCTTTTCCTATTACGTTGCTATATACAAACCCTAAATTTGAGACAAGTCATTCGAAAAATACCAAAGTCTATTGACAGTCAATCCTGTGTCAACCAATATTTCCTCGAAACGTGCTTCTTCTCTAACATATAGTCCCGCGCATGTATATCCTTACCAGGACAAGGATACAGTGCATTCTGCACAGTGCAACTCCACCGTGTTATACCTTCGCGAGACCTTCCGTAACTATACGTAGTTATTCGCGTCTCTATTCTCTCTATTCTCTATTCAAAATTTGACCGAACGTCGCTCTCCTTACGTCACTATAATTATCCCGTGACACTCTCGTCGACGAGGAAAACGAAAACGCGTGCCTCTTCCATTATCTTTCCAATTTTCTCCCTGAAACTACGTGCCCCTCGGTTACACTCCACCACGCGTACCAGGAATTATCCGATGGAATGATTTATTTGTACTGGAAGATTAATATGTGACGTGGACAGGGTTCGTTTCGGGTGTCTTAATTAAAGGTTGGTTAACGAGCGCGCCGCAAGTGGGGCGATGATGTTTGACTGACGAAAGGGAGGAAGGGTGCAGCGTGATCGACCCTTTGGTACCGATCCCGATTTCGGTTGGAAAAAGCTGGTTGGATGAAACGCAGGGGGCTTCGGCTTCGTGGGCTTTACAATTTTAATTGTACAAAGAACGAGAAGAGATATTTAATTCTCGTTAATCGTCTGTATTAGGTAATTAGATACCTGTAAGTAGATTAATAAATCCAACTCTGAAGCTGACACGACATAGTTAAAAACGCGACTAATTTACCATGTACAAAGATAAGGATAATTATAAGGATAATTCTTTAAGAAACCTGCGAGGATTTATAATAAAATTTGTAAAAGGAAACCAAAAGCATCAACTGTAAGTCGGTGATATCCCATTGAACGCGATCCATATATCATGTATTGAAGTATGAGTATGTGTGTGTGTGTGAGCAACGCGTGAACAGAGGTATGAATCATCATGTTTAGTATGTAAGAAGTGCAGAGTTAAACACGTGTATACCAAAGATCATTAACACTAGAACTACCAACCCAGTCAAAATGACTGATTCTAGAATTGTCCTTTTTGCAATCACCGAACACATACACCTGTTTTAAGAATAAAATTGGTATCAACTCATATTAACAGAGAACTGTAATCAATATATTCACTCATATTCAACGTACCGCTGAAATTAACTATAATCTGTGCACGTTACAGTTAGGTACCCATCAAAGATCGGCAGTTCTAGTGTTAAAACCAGTAAAATAAAAGTAATATCTCTTATTAAAACCTAAAACCTTATGAAAATTTCTGTTTAACGATAACTTATTTCGCGTTGCACTTGTCTCTATTAATTTACCGATGTTCCAGAAATTAATGAAATTATTCGCAGATATCGGTATACATTCGTCGATAAAACGAGCTAAAAATTGATCACGATCCTATCCTCGAGTTGGCGACCAGTCTCCCGTAATAAATCAACGATTCGAAAACACGGATGTACCATTAAACGAACATTTCCGTAGAGACTATCAGCTCTTAAACCACCTCGCGGAGATTCCCCGTCCCGCGGTTGTCGAGGAATCAAACGAAATTCCAGGGAGTCCGGTGACAAGCAGCGCCGCTGCGGCGTTTCCTCCGCGCGATGCAGCAATGGCGGACCGAGTCGGCGATCGAATGAATCCACCGGCCGATCCCGGCGTGTTCGCGAGGCACGCGATACATTTCCCGGCTGTTCCCGCAACAGGAGGAAAAAGAAGCGGAAACTGAGCGGGGAAAGGGTGGAGGGGTGATCGTATAGAGCACCGGTCT